AGGTTGTGAGGTCTGTTGGAAACTAGGCAGGCAGCAAGAAGCCAGACCTTGAAATTACTAGGCCATTAAATGCTAATTGAGGTGGCCAATTGCAACATTCACTCCTACTGGGTTGTTGTAAGTTTTTCAGGCTGTATGGCCATGTTCCGGAAGCATTCTCTCCTGATGTTTCGCCTGCATCTATGTCAGGCATCCTCAGAGGTTGTGAGGACACCTCTGAGGATGCCTACCATAGATGCAGGTGAAATGTCAGGAGAGAATGCTTCTGGAACATGGACATATAGCCCGAAAAACTTACAACAACCCAATGATTCCAGCCATGAAAGCCTTCCACAATACATTCACACCTGCCTCCAACAGACAAGAGTTCCTTCTCTCACCGTGGACATTCCACAGATATATAAACCCCAATTGCCTAGTTTCTAACAGACTTCACATCCTCTGAGGATGAGCTGCCATAGATGTGGGCAAAACGTTAGGAGACAATGCTTCTGGAACATGACCATACAGCCTGGAAAACTGAAAGCAACCAAGTGATAAGAAATATGCTCACCATGTGTTTGATTTTCTTCTTTTTATTTGTGTAAAAGATGGCATACCCTCCTGTCCAATATATTGTAAAAAGGAGACATGATATATACTTATAAATTTTGAATGATAAATCTATAAATAAAAATGGGAAAAATGAATTGTGAGAGATGAACTCCAAAACACCTGGAGGGCCGAAGTTTGTCCATGCCTGATACATACACACACGCATTGGATAGAGTAGTGGTGTTTGTTTTGCTGTCTGTATAAATCAGGTATGGGCCATTAGGCTGTTAGGAATTGGAGTTGAAGTCCAAAACCTGGAGGGCCAAAGTTTGCCCAGGCCTGGTGATAGATATATATATAGAGTCATAAATAATTCTTTCTTTATTTACTTCACTTGTATACTGCTTTGCTCACCCCTGAAGGGACTCAAAGCGGTTTTCAGCATATTTATTGCACAATTTAATGCCTCACATACATATGAAACCTAACATAAAACAACAATAACATATAACTATCAATTAGATCATAAAAATAGTTGGATATTCAAAGGTGGAGTTAAAACATATTAATAAGGAGCCCCCGGTGGCGCAGTGGGTTAAATCCCTGTGCTGGCAGGACTGAAGACCGACAGGTCGCAGGTTCGAATCTGGGGAGAGGTGGATGAGCTCCCTCTATCAGCTCCAGCTCTTCATGCGGGGACATGAGAGAAGCCTCCCACAAGGATGATAAAACATCAAAATCATCCAGGCGTCCCCTGGGCAACGTCCTTGCAGACGACAAATTCTCTCACAACAGGATGCTCCTGACACGACAAAAAAACCCAAACAAACGTATTAATATAAACATTAAAACCACATAATTCAAAAAAACGTACTCCAGGCCATTCCAAATATGAAATATCAATTGCACATATCTCTGATCAGTCCTTGTATTACTTACTGCCAATAATAATAATAATAATAATTTTGTATTCCGCCCTATCTGAGTCCCCTTTCGGGGGGAGAAGGGTGGGGTATAAATATTGGAAATAAATAAATAAATATTTCCCCATGGGGGCTTTGGGTGGATTCCAACAGATAAAAAGGCAAACATTTGATGCATTGATAAAGCAATAGATACAAATACAAGAAATAAACAGCTATATCCTAAATCCCAAAGTAAAGCAACATCTAAAGCTAAACATACAACCTAGAATTAAATAATAACATGATCTAACAATTAAAATCATATCTAAAATAAAAATATAAACACAAAATGTAAAAAACCATCAAAAGTTTATTTACAATATTTAAAATTAATTATGTGGCCAGTGATGACAACAGGGCCCACAGAGCCAACAAAGCCAGCGTGGAATAGCAATTTCCAACCAGGGCCTATTAGCCGAATACCGTCATCTAATCCTCCGCTCCATATGCTAGTGTGCAAAGATGGGCTTTTAATTGTTTTTTAAAGGAGAGAATGAAGGGGGCCATTTTTATTTCTTTAGGGAGGGAGGCACCACCCAATCGCTCCTAACAGAGAGCCATCCAGCCATATATATATATATATATATGTGTGTGTGTGTGTGTGTGTGTGTGAGAGAGAGAGTGTGAGTGTGAGTGTGTGATTGAGGTAGAGGCCATCCCCAAGTTACGAACAAGATAGGCTCTATAGGTTTGTTCTTAAGTTGGATTTGTTTGTAAGTTGGAACAGGTGCATTATTTCAGTATAGCTCCAGCCATATATATATGTGTTTGTGTGTGTATAGAGAGAGAGAGCGCTAGCTTTGGATAGCACAGGAGCAGTGAATTGGATAGCATGGGTAAGGGTGAACTCCTCTATGGTACTTGGTTTGCTGTCTCTGATCCGGTTCAGAAGATTTCACCACACTTTCTGTCCCTGTGATAATTGGATTTTGGAAAATTTGGCTTGTTGTGGAAACAAGGATTGGAGAGAAAGCTTCAGTGGAGACCCTGATAATTATCAC